AGAGCAATAGTTGCCGACAACGGAACACAGTTTGACAGCAAACTCATCAAGAACTTTTGTGCGAAATTCAAGATCAAGAATTACTTTTCAACACCAAGTTTTTCCCAAAGTAATGGGCAAGTAGAAGCATCCAATAAAGTAATCTTAGATGGGATAAAGAAGAGGCTGCAGGCAGCAAAAGGAAAGTGGGTAGACGAATTGCCCAACGTGCTTTGGGTATATCGGACTACGCCGAGAAGATCAACAGGGGAATCCCCTTTTGCCATGGCTTATGGCACAGAAGCAGTCATCCCATTGGAGATCGGCATCCCAGGGATCAGGACCCAGGGAGTAGAGAATGGCACCAATGACATACTCTTAGCCCGAGATCTGGATCTTTTGTAAGAACGAAGAGAGAAAGCTGCAATTCAGCTCGCAGTATACCAGCAACAACTTGCCAGAGCTTACAACAAGAAGGTCAATCCAAGAGATTTTCAAGTCGGCAACCTAGTTCTGAGAAAAGTCGTCGGCAACAAGAAGGATCCCAGAGAGGGCAAGCTTGGCCCAAACTGGGAAGGACCCTACAGAATTACTTCGGTATTAGGCAATGGAGCTCATCGGCTAGAAGATAACGAGGGCAAAGCACTACCAAGACCTTGGAACACTTGTAATTTGAAATTCTTCTATCATTAGATGTGCACTATTTTTGGCCGACGTCATCAATAAAATCTTTTCCCTTTTCTTTAAAACACATATGATTGATAAAGTTACATATTGGTGTTTTTGGAGACATGAATAATGAGAACCCAAGTAGAACTCAGGTTCACATTGGGGGCAAAGAGAAGACAGAGACACTTAATTCACTTGTTAAAATTTGTAGTAATTTACAAGTTGGAGTTAAACCGAGATTATTCCTTATCTTCACTTGTTGAAATTTGTAGCAATTTACAAGTCGAAATAAAACCGAGGTCATAGTTTGCACACTTATTGCAATCTACAGGTTGGCCCAACCAAAGAAGATGCTTAACACTTGTTGAAATTTGTAGCAATTTACAAGACAATGTTAAGCCGACATGTGATCATCTGTTGAAGTTTGCAGCAATTTGCAGGTTGAGGTAAAAAGCTAAGTATATTGTTTAAACACTTGTTGAAATTTGCAGCAATTTACAAGTAGATCATTGCTTAAACACTTGTTATAACTTGAGAAAAGTTTACAGTATACGATAACACTTGTTGAAATTGGTAGCAATTTACAAGTAGGTTAGACTAAGATCACTCTCTAAACACTTGATTGAAACATTGAGAAATGTTCGCAAAATTGACATTGAATAGTATATGTCTTACACTTGTTGGAATTTATGAAAAGTTTGCAGGTCAACATCTTGCCGAAGTAAAGCTTGTAGTTATTATACCCGAGATATGTAACCCCGAGAAGATTGCACAAGGGTGGCAAAATATGAAAGGCATACAAAATATTCTAAGTATAGAACCATGCAAAAGCAAATCAAGAGAAATGAAAAGATTAAAGCATCCATAGAAAAACAGTTGCAGTTGTGTACAAAAGAAGGCACTACAAAAGTAAATTGTTTCGAAATAACAAAGATAGGCACATCGGCCACAAAAGAAAGCTTACACTGTCCAGAACACAGAAAAATAAAAATGTTCAAACAAAGAAAGACATTGAAGTCAGGCTCCTTCAGCATCAACAGCTGGATGGGCTGGAACCTCGGAGGATTCTGGTGGAACCACCTCGGCAATCTTTTCCGCCGCCAACTCGGCATCAAT